AACTCAAACGGGAGAAACCTCTTGATAAGGAGAAGTGATAGCTCATCCACCAATATGACAATCCTGCAAGTTGTAAGGAAAACTCACAAGGGTCAGGACAGGATTCTGTTTTTGTCTTTACAGGAAAATAGAAATACTCATCTTCAAGAAATCAAAAGACATTGACCATCTAGACATCTTAAGAAAAAAGGAAAGCTATACAGAAAAAAAAATTACCAAGCAAAGAAAACTATGATCTATGGTATCAATATTCTCTGCAGATTAAAAATCTCACTATGTAAACATCTATATCTCTTTACTTCTCAGAAAAGTTATAGTCCTGACTCAATTAAAAAATCAAAACTGACTTTGGAGATGGAGCATGGCTCACTCCTTCTCTAAGTCCAAGCATGTTGTTAAAAGAAAACTTCAGAGTTTCTGCCTCATGACAGAAGAGCCACCTGGTATGGAAAAAAGAAAAGCAGAAATTTAGGGATTACTGCTGTCAAAACTCTGCTACCTCCCCAAAATTCTATTTCTCCCATATTTAATTTTGTCCCTTTGGTATCTTTCCTTAGATACTTATCTATTAAAAATTTAAACTTTTTATCTTAATATTAATAATGTTTAAGTTTTCTACAATGAACATTAGATTTTCTAACATTTAGCAATCTCTGAAGTCTCCAGAAAGAAGATGGACCCCACAACAGTGATTCTACCTGGTTCTAAATGATGCTGTCAAACTGATAAACACCACTCAAAGATTATCTTGGACTACAAATTGCTCAAGACAACTCCAGATTGGCTAGCTGAGATGGTCAACCTTCTCACAACACTCTGGACAGAACCTCAGATAAACCTTCCCAGCTACTCAGAGACTGGCTACAGTGTTACAGCTAATGCTCTTGAGACTTAACCATTGTTTTAGGTTTTCTGTTTGTTTGTTTGTTTGTTTGTTTTTACAGGATTCTGTAGAGATATTGTCACCCCCAAGATAGCTGGAAGGAAGTTTAAGAAAACCATGCCCCCTCTCCCAACAGATTTTGTTTTCTCATGGTTATGGATAATTGTTGTCTGTTAAGGGTTGGTTAGAAAATGGATTGGGAGTGGAACAATGAAGTTTAGACTTGAGAATATCTTTTGGAAGAGAAAAAGGGGGAAATAGACTAGGATAAATAGGAAGTATATATGAACTACTTTAGTTATAGACAATTCGTGTTGATATAGATTCTTGCATATTGGTATATATGTAAAATTATTTTTGCATTCTAAGATAATTTGTATATTGATACAAATTCAAAATTATATTGTTATATTGTGTGTTCCTATCTCTGTTTACAATGTTTTTGTACACAATGTAAAATTATTTTTATTCTATTGTATGTATATGTTTCTATATCTGCTTAAGATATTTTGTATATTGATACAATTTAAAGATATTTTTGTCATATTGCACTACACATTTCTACTTCTGATCAAGATATTTTTATATATACTGTTACAATTTTGAGGTCACTGTCCTCATGCTGCACATCTGTTAAAAGATTGTTTATTTTCATACTATGAAGCTTTAGCCTTTAAGTCATATAAGTTATTAAGAATTACAGGTTAATAGCCACTCATGCTTGTCATATTTATGTTAGTTAGGTTCTCTAGATACACAAAGACATACTCCTCATAGATACGCAATCTTCAAACACTACAAAGACCTACAGAATATGGTATTTAAATGTTTCAATAATTTAGAAATTCTATTGATGTGAGACACAAATGCTCCTGGAAGCACTGATCTCCTCCTGAGAGAATGCTGGGCACCAAAGACACTCCATTTGAAACTTGTCTTTTTCTTGGCATAACTGGCCTTTTGGGCAAAGAACTGCTCTTGCCTCGACTGCTGACAGTAAGCACACTGTCCAAACTTGTCAAGCAATATTCAAGGAAAATAACTGCTGAATCTTGCCAAGACAGGGTAGGACATTCTTTTGAATTTTCCTGCTATATCACTTTCTGTCTGTCTGTACAGACCTCCAGACCTCTTTGGTTAGCTAGTGGCTAGCTAGCTCTGATCTTCAGGCAAGCTTTATTTGTACAAATAAGATATCACCACAGTAATTCTTTTCTGATTGTAAGAAATTAGATTCCTGGGGATGCAGAAATGGCTCAATGGTTAAGAGTACTGGCTACTCTTGCAGAGGACCTGGGTTTGATTTCCAGCACCCACATAGAGGCTCACACCCATCTGTAACTCCAGTTCCAGAGAGCTGATACCCTCGCCTGGCTTCTGGGGTCAACAGGCATGCGTGAAGGGCACAGACATATATACAGGTAAAACACCCACACACATAATAAAATTAAAATAAAAAAGGGAACCAGTTCCTATTATTCTTTTGTTATTGTTATTGTTAGTTTGTTTTGGTTTTTGTTTTTTCTTTGTGTAACCCTGGCAGTCCTGGAACTCACTTTGTAGATCAGGCTGGACTTGAACTCAGAGATCTGCATGCCTCTGCCTCCCAAGTGCAAACGCTTGTACCACCACCACCTGGGCAAGGCAATCCAGCATGTGGCCTACCTGTCAACCCCACTTCTGGCCCCCATCCCATTGGGGGAATCAAACCCTGGTCTATCATGTGACAGGTGGGAATAACAATGGCACGAGCGACTCACTATTCTTAAAATACTTACTTGCTCTGAATGGAAGCAGCATCCCCTCCTCTGCACAAGAACCCTTTTTACTCTGTTCAGGATGCAGTATCTGCATCAGGCTGATACTGCCTCCCTCCTCCATGTCACCTTACCTGTCCCCTGATGTCTTCCAGGCCTTGGATACCTCAGCTCACAAGGCACAGCCGCCTACTTTGCCGCACCCCTCCCCCCATCTTTAGGGCTGAATGGTTCCAGGAAGGGAATGAAAAGAATGGGAAGGGTAAAACCCCCTGATTTCTTTAAGAAATCCCTTTGTTGTTATAAACAAAACTGAAATTCGGCAGGTCAATGAATATATGCATTTTAAATATTTGTTAGGCTAATTTGTTTTCTACAGGAGTTTAACAAAACATGTCATCTCCTAGCAAGCCTTGGTGGGGCTTCTAAAGCAGCGCAGTGATTTGAATGAGAAGGTTCTCCATAGTCTCAGACCTTTGAATAGTTGGTACTTAATTGGTGGTGCTGTTTGGGTAGGTTTAGGTGTTATGGAATAGGCACTTTCTGATTGGTTTAATAAAAAGCTGAATGGCCAAGAGCTAGGCAAGATTTTGGGGGCAGAGAGGATGCTGGGAAGAAAGGTGGAGATGCAGAGAGTTCCCTGACAGACAGAGGGGATGCAGGATGGAAGTACAGGGTAGGTAAAGGTACCAAGCCACATTAAAGGACGTAGATTAAAAGATAAGGGTTATAAGGACCAGTTAGTAACAAGACTTAGCTAAGGCCAAGCTCTCATAATTAATAATAAGTTTCCATGTCTGGCGACCCGAAGAAAAGTCTGCCTACATTTAGGAGTTCTGGCCTTGCTGGAGGAAGTGTGTCACGTGGGGGCAGGGGCAGGCTTTGAGGTTTCAAAGCTTCCCCTAACTCTGTGCTTGTGGTTTAACATGTGAGCCCTCAGTTCCTCCTCCTGCAGCTGGGCCTTTGCTCCACTGTAGGCTCTAGCTGTCTGGAACCATAAACCAAAGTAAACGCTTCTATAAGTTGCCTTGGTCATGACGTTTTATTACAGCATCAGAAAAGTAATTGCTATATACATGGAAAAACACATAAAAGTTATGTAACAATATTGGAGGAAATGACCACAACTTAGTTTTTTTGTTTGGAAGTCCATTTATTGTTACACAAAACATCAGTTTATGGGTTACGGAAACATGAAACAAAATTTAGCAATCATAACCAAACTTAGGCACACAAAATGTTAACCAAACAGATGGGGGTAAAAAGTCCAAGACCCTTCAGAAACAAACCACCATGGGAGCTGGTGCAGTGGTTGTTATTGTCAGTACTTACAGAACAATAATCTCAGCCTGGAAAATTGTGCGACAGAAGGGCTGGGGGGAAGTCTTCTACCAAAGTCTTCAGTCGTTCATCATACACTTGTCAGAAAATGGGTTTCCAGCACAGCACGGTGGTGCATGCTTTTAATTCCAGCACTCATGAGGAAGAGGTAGGCGGATCTCTGTAGTTTGAGACCAAGTAGTTCTACATAGTGGGTCAGGCCAGTAAGTGTTACTTAGGTGAGATCTTATTTTTTTAAAAAAGCCTTTTAAGTCATGAGCATAAATTCTTTTTGCAGGCCTGCACTGCTAGAGCGGTTCATAAAATCCCCCCAAGCATGCAATCAAATGAAAGAGGGTCTCAAGTTGAGCGGCTTGCTCAGGATTTCCCAGGATTTCAAACACTCAAGTGAGGCACCCTGAAATCCTTTCAGTTCCAAGCAAACTTGATGATTCCTACCCGGATCCGTATCGTGCACAGCTGACGCCAGTCAGATATTTACATTTAATCAAGTGAAACTGAAAAATCAGTTCTATAATCGTAGTAACTACAATTCAAGGGCTCAGCAGCCACATGCGGCCAGTTGGTCGCCCTATTACTAAGAGGCGGACTATATTCATCAATGCAGGAAGTTCTGTCCAGATAGACAGTTGAGAATTCAAAAAATTAAAGCCTGGTAGCCTCAATTTCCAAAACCAGTAACTGCCAAAAGATGTTAGTCACTCTCTAGAGAAGAAAAACATACTAACCGACAGCAAATAAACACCTGCCCCAACCCTCCTGCCTACGGGGGTTTCTCAGTCGAGCTTATTCGACAGTAATCTCCCTGGCCACGAGCCCAGCCACCAGAACAATCTCCTCAGGCTTCTAGAACCCAGGGAATTTCAGGGCCTGGAGTACACCGGAGAGAGGCCCGAGATGACCTGCAGAACCCGCATCTCAGCTGATGTTCCCAGGCCTGGCGTTCTAGCTCAGGCGCTGCGGCAGGTGGGCGGGGCCGTGACGCACGCACCTCGTGACCCCACTCGGGGCCTGCGCCGGCCGAAGCCGGAAGCGGCTGCAGTCGGAGGAACCCGGTGAGCGATCTGGTGCTGGCCGGCCAGGGGATGGCTCGGGCTGCGGTGCTGGAGCGGCGCAGCGGGTGGCGGTCGCTGTGGCAGCGGACGTTGCTGCTGCTGCAGCTGCTGCGGTGGGGGTACGCCCTCGGCTCGCTCCCTTTCGGCAGCAGTCGCCACCCGGGCTTTGCGGATCTCCTATCGGAGCAGCAGCTGCTGGAGGTGCAGGACTTGACCCTGTCTCTGCTGCAGGGTGGCGGTCTGGGGCCGCTGTCGCTGCTGCCCCCCGACCTGCCGGATCTGGAGCCCGAGTGCCGGGAGCTGCTGATGGACTTCGCCAATAGCAGCGCCGAGCTGACCGGGTGTCTGGTGCGCAGCGCTCGGCCCGTGCGCCTCTGCCAGACCTGCTACCCGCTCTTCCAACAGGTCGCCAGCAAGATGGACAACATCAACCGAAACATCGCGGTGGGTAGAGGAGCAGCCCAGGCGCCTGTGGCTTGGGGGCTGGGGAAGTAAGGAAAAGTCATTGAACTGTTTGTGGAGTTGGGGGATCAGAAGCAGGCGGGTGGCTTTAGGGGCCTGGGGTTTAGAATGCTGCCTCCCTCGATGCTGTCAGCGGACGTCTTCTTGGATTGATTTGCAGTTAGATATGAGTGGCCTTCTTGGGGGCAGGGAGTCCAACACTCCTACCCTTATCTTATTTTTCAGCCCCCTCCTTCCCCATCTCAGTTCGTAGTTCCAAAAAACGACCCTTTCGAAACTGTTAGTCATTAGAAGTTTGAGCATTGCCGCGGACATACACAGAGCTACCAGTTTCTAGCACTGTGACCATTATTTTTTTCAAAACATCAGTTTCTTCTTTATTAAATGCTACCTCCCCCCCCCCCCAAATCCCAGTTGCTGCATGTTGAGGTATGGGAATTAATTTTTATTAAGACAGTCTGGAGCCTGCTGGCGAGGAGTCCAGTTCCACCGTTTATTAGCTTGTACTCCGGACAAGTTAGTGACACACTCTGCTTGTTTTCTTATCCGTAAAGTGGGGATAGAGGGAGCCACGGAGAGCTGGCAGATAGTAATAGCTCGTGGTCAGTGAGGGTTAACATTTTAGGACATGCTCGGCCTGTTCTCCTCTAGATACGTTGAGAGCTTTTCTGGGCTTTTGGAAGGTAATGTGAAGGGTTTAATGAAGGCAAACAAAAAGAGGAAGACGCGGTTTTTGCCTCTAAGTTCTGTATGCTCTAGGAAAGGATTAGACTGTCAGCCCAGGTGAGAGTCACGAGGTTGCCTGGTAGAGGAAAACCAGGAATGACTCCTCCCCCCCCCCCCCCCCCGAAAAGTTCCTTTTCTATTGAGGGGGCCAGTAGTCTCCTGAAAAGGCTTTGTAAGTCGAAATTGACTTGACTAAATAGAAATTTGCCTATAGCTTCCTCTTGTTTTCAACCATTCTGATGTTACTTGACAGAATCCGTTGTTTTTGTAATGGGTTCATTTGTATTAGGTAAATCCCAGAGTCAGTCTTTGCGGAAAGAACTGGTTTTCCAGCGGTGTAAATAGGCTCAGGTGCAGTATTCTTCAGATTCACTTTTTTCTCTGTGACTTTAAAGTCCCTGCCCTCAGGAGTGTTATGTTTGGTTTTGAGCAGTTTCATTAAGTTGTCCTTAGGATGCCTTTTCATTCTATTTTAATTAATTAATTAATTAATTAATTTGTGATGAAGTTTCATGCCCCCCCCCCCCCCAACTGATCCTGAACTTACCGGGTGGCCCAGGTGCTGAGATCACAGGTATGGATCGTTATGATCCGGTTTCATGCAGTGCAGGGGCTCAAACCCGTGCCTTGTCCGGGCTCCTCAAGCTACTAACTGAGCCCAACCCCTGAGTTTATTTTAAATTAGCATACAGAATAGCAGGTTGGCGGTCCCCCACATAATCATGGTTGGTCCACCCTCCCACCCTTTATATCCACCGCTCACTCTCAGTGTGCCCCCTTGTACTCTTGTGTCATCTGTGGTCCCGTGCCTCCTCCCCTCCCTCCCTTCAGCTTCTTTCTGTGACTCTTCTTGTGGCCTCCTCTCTGATTCCCCGGCCCCTACTCAACACTGACTCCACATTAATGCACAGATATCAACATTGAAAGCCAGGCTATGTATCTGAGAGAGAACATGGGGCGTTTATCTCTTTGTGCCTCGGTTGCCTCGCTTAAGATATGAATTTTCAGTTTTGTCAGTTTTCCTGCAAACTTCATAACTTCCAGGTTGCCTTTTTTGTCTTAAATAACAAGACCTATTATTGGCACAGTGCCCCTGAATCGTGATGGGCCTTTGAGGCTGCAGAAATTTTCTCGAGTAAGCACGTGCTGTGAAGTTAGGAGGTTAAAAACAAAAACAAAAACCAGGCAATCCTGAGTTCTAGTAATTAGAATTATGGCCGTCACCCAATAGATACATGAATGAACTCCTACTGCCCAGCCGAAGATTTCCAGACCAGGGTTGCAGGCGCTTCCTTCACCCATCTGGCCCTCAGGTACTACCAGTAATGTGGGACCCCGGATCTCCTCACCCTAATGTGAAGAAGGAGTGACGTGGTCACAAGAGGTGGGAAAGCCTTCCCCAGCCTGCATACTCAGAAGGCTGGTTTCTGCGGTGTACCCCAGGATTTATTAGGTTTCTGGGGGTACTTTGGGAGTCTGACCTTGTGACCTATCAGGAAATGTGTGTGTTTAAAGAACTCTGTGACGGGAGAGTTTGTTGTAGTGAAGGCTAGAAAGAATTGAGCAAAGCAGCCTGTGACCGGAAGTCTGTATTGGTCAGGAGCTAGGGGCCATGGATTTTAGAGTCTGAAACCAGTATGATTGTGTTGGCAGGTTTTAATTCTCTTGTAAGGATGGTATTGTTACCTACATCTCAGGGAATGCAGAGATTCAAAATGGATGTAAAAAAAGGTATGTAGATGGGGTTGTAGATTTTTGTGTGTTTTGATGCCTTCATCCCACTTCTCAGGGGCAGCCATGATGAGAGTGGGTGGCTGCATTCCTGGTATCTAGGCTTCGGCCAGATGGTTCTGATTATGATGGATCAGGATACTCATATTTTCAAGTATAAATCAAGGGCCAGCTTGTTTGGGCCATTATGCTATGTGTTGAGAAAACAAAGACACGTGAAGTTTCCGTCCTGCAGGAATTGATTTCCAGATGGGAAACCTAGGTATCCACAGGGAGATACCATGCTGTAAGAAACTGAGCCTCCGAGAGGTTAAGTACCCCATGGAAGGTGGCACGGTGGGAGAAGCAGGCTCTCAGTCGACACTACCTGTCTGAGGTGTGAGGGGCGAGTGGGGTACTCGTGCAGGACCCTGATCACAGCAGCCTCACCTCCGGGGTTGCTGTTGCTTCCTCTCCACCCTCGCTTTCACCTTCAGCTTTTCCTCATACTCACACTAGGGCAAGTGTCTGGTCAGTCTTCCCGCCACATTCACCTCTAAATATCGTTACCTGGAAGTGTATTCCCAGACTGCTTTTTCTATCACCCTTTCCAAAAATCTTCAAGAACTTTCTACTGTCAAGAAAAAGAAAAAAGTAAAAGTATTTTTCTAAAAGAAAATTTTTAGATACTTTTATGTGTGTGGGTGTTCGGCCTATATGTAAGTCTGTGTGCCACCTGCAGCTGCCTGGTGCCTATGGAGACCCCAGATCACCTAGAACTGGAGGGACAGAAGGTTGTGAGCCACCATGTGGGTGCTGGGAATCGAGCTCAGGTCCTCTGGAGGAGCAGCCAGTGCTCTCAATTGCTAAGCCTCTTTCCAGCCTTGAGAAAGTGTTTTTCTTTTGGCTGAGTCTTAAGGACTTTGCCAACCTTGTCCCAGCGTATCCATAGTGCTGCCATGTTCAGAGTGTACCCACTACTACCAAACAGTGCCTGCACACTGAACGTCAGCTGCACCTTCACCCTCTGCTACCGAACAGTGCCTGCACACTGAACGTCAGCTGTATTTCATCCTCTGATCATTTTATTCTGTTTCAGAGTTCTCTTTCTGTTGTAAAAGGAGCAGCAGGCCGCTTTTCATCCCACCCAGCTAGCTTTACCTGAAATAATTACATGGAAACTGTATTCATTTAAACACTGCCTGGCCCATTAGTTCTAGCCTCTTATTGACTAATTCTTACATCTTGACTAACCCATTTCTAATAATCTGTGTAGCAACACGAGGTGGTGGCTTACTGAGAAAGATCCTAACCTACGTCCGTCTCTGGTCGGAGATTCATGGCGTCTGCCTGACTCTGCTTTCTTCCTCCCAGAATTCTGTTCTGTCTACTCCACCCACCTAAGGGCTGGCCTATCAAAAGGCCAAGGCAGTTTCTTTATTAACCAATGAAAATAACACATAGACAGATGGCCCTCCTATACAATTTCCCCTTTTTCTGTTTAAACAAAAAGGAAGGCTTTAACTTTAACATAGTAAAATTACATATAACAAAACAGTTATCAAATAAGAATTACAGTTACAATATTTATATCTACTTTATCTTTTATAATAATTAAGGAAAACCATAACTGACTATCTATTCTTCAACTCCATCAAAGACTCCAGAAAGATATAATATTACCTAAGTAAACAAGACGAAGCAACTTCCAAAACTCTAGAAATGACAGAGACATCTCGCTGTCTGGACAGTCACCCAAAGTTCCTCTGTACTGTTGGGGCATCCATCTTTGGCCTTCAGGCCCATGGTATCCAGCAGACATTTCCATGAAGCAGGAAAATTCAAAGTCAGCTCAGTCACTTTCTTTTGTGTCCTGCAGAATGTCTCGCAGACCCTTTCATGAAACAGGAACCCCGAAAGATCATCTCACCTTTAGGCAAGTTCAGCAGTCCTCACTCTGTGGGTTCTTTGTGTCCAGTTTATCCAACAGTCCAGGCAAGAGCAGTTTCTTGCCCAAATGGCTAACCAACTCCATAAGGAGCCTCTTCAATGCCCATCTTCCTCTTGAAGTAGATTGGTGCTGCCAGGAGCAGATGTGTCTCATTGTCATGAAAAGCCCTAAGTTATTAAAACATTAAATGACATATTCTGTAGTCCTTGAAAGATATGAAGAATGCCTATCTGAAATATATCTATGCACATCTAGAAAATCTAACTAACATGACTACAAACTTGACTATTATAGATGATTATCCATTAACAACCTATATTTCCTATTATACATTACATTTTTAAATGAACTACACAATCACAATACCTTAATCAAGAGCAGAAATACATATACATATAACAAAATTGACCTTAAAATCCATACCAGTGCAAATTATTCATATCTATATCGTATCCCCCTTTAAATGTAAAAGAACATTTGAGAGGGAGGGGACTCAGAGGTTAAGAGCACTGACCACTCTTCCAGAGGTCCTGAGTTCAATTCCCAGCAACCGCATGGTGACTCACAACCATCTGTAATGAGATCTGGTGACCTCCTCTAACATGCAGGCAGACACTGTATACATAATAAATAAATCAATCTTTCTTTATGTCATGTATATATGTAAGTATGGGGGGGCAGAGGACAACTGTGGGGATCAGTCCTCTTTTCACCACAAGGTCTAGGGACTGAACTCTGGCTCTTAGGCTTGATGGCAGCTGTCTTCATCCACGAAGTCATCCCACGCATCCCGTAGTGATTTTTAGGAGCCTCAGCTGCATGTGAAGATGCACCTTACATGCCTGCACCTCACCAAACAGACAGACGCTCCTGAGAGCACCTGGGTTTGGCACCACGGGAGCCAGGTGAAACACCACTTACCAGGTTCTGTGTGCCAGGCTTTGTGCTCCTTGATGAATATATGTATTTCATTTAATATGGGAAGTGTAGGACCCTTGCTTGTGAAGTTGAGCTCCAGAGGAGTTGGGTCAGCTGCCCATACCATCATCTCTTACCAGTCCCTGCCAAGCTCCAGTGAAGAATCAATGAAGGAGACAAACATAGTAGTGCCAGGGCTGGGGAGGTTGAGCCAAGAGGTTAGCCTGGGGTTGCATAGCAAGATCTTGTCTCAAAAGGAAAAAAAGAAAGATGGAAAGGTTGAAAATGTAGCTCAGGCTTTGAGTGCTGGCCAAGCACATGTGTGGTTCCCCAGGACCACACAAATAATGAAAGAATACGGAAGAGCTGTACGGATGGCTTAGTGGGTAAGACTGCTTGTCGTACAAGCACAAAGGCGCTAGTTTGATTCCTCAGCACCCGTGCAAAAAGGCAGGTGTGACTGCATGCACCTGTAACCCCAGTGACGTGGGGAGTAAAGACAGGCAAACTGCCGGGCCTGATGGCTACTGTCCACCAGCCTAAGCCTAGTTCCAGGGTTAGTGAGAGAGCCTGTCTCAAGAGAGTAAGGAAGGATGCCTGATGGCCTCTGGCCTCTGCCAGCATCTACCTGTGTGCAGGCAACTGTGCATGTAACACACACACACACAACTCACATATACATATGCACAACAAAAACAAGGATAAATATGTTTTATTTATTGCTATTTCTCCGAAACAGTTCCAAAAAAGGAACCCTGAGATGGCTTAGTTAGGTAAGGGCAATCCCGGGGACCTACACAGTGGCCGGAGAGAACTGATGCATAGGTTGTCCTCTGTCCTACCCACACACCACATACTAAATAAATGTTAAAAAATAAAGATAACAAAAGCAAGCGCTCTCTTAGGTGCGTCTTAGTGAGGTGCTACACATGGAGGATGAGCTTTCCAAATGAATCTCAGTGATACTCCCATTGCTGCAATGACTGGCTAGTTCTTTTCCTGGTCTTCCCACTTGGTCTCTTTCACCTGTCTGTGTTTACAGGCAGATTCTTGAAGCAGTGTGGCAGCTTTCTCCTACATCCCCTGTCTGCAGAAGGCCAGCATTCTTGTGGTGCCTGTAAGCAGTGGGAGTTAAGTGACTTTGAAAGGAGGGGCCAACACTCAGTGCCCCTTGTGAGGCAACAGAGACAGGAAATAGTTGAGGTTCAAGACATCAGGGTCCCGGCTTTATTATCTGCATAGCACGAGTTTCTTTCTTGATAAATTGTCCTTGGAAGACATGTTTTTCTATTCGAGTACAAACTCTTGGATGTTATAAGGATGAATTACTGGATTTTCTGGCAGAATACTAGCCTTTGGACCAAAGCATTTCCCAAAAGGTGAAGCCAAAGGATTTGTGAACATTTGCTCACAGATTTAAAAGAATCATTTACTGTAGAAAAAACTTAAGCAGTTGAAGAGAAGCAAAAGTGAAAATCAGATTTGTCTTGCTGTCATCCAGAGACACCCATTGCTACATTCTGGAATTTTTCCTGTGCAAAGTAAGAGACTGTGACACAGTCACAAGCGGGAATGAAGAAGTTGAGCTCCATCACAGAAGCAAAGGGGGCTGGAGAGGCGGCTCAGCAGTTACGCAGGTGTTTCTTCCTTTCTACATGGACCCAGCAAAAAATAAATGTTAGATAGAAACTTGTCTCCCTGCCATTTTTATTATTACTGCTGTTATCATCAGGTCCTATCAGACAAAATCTTAAATGGTTTATAATATGTATTTTAATTGTTTTATGACTTTTGGAGTTGTTGGAAAGTCTAAATCCTCAGAGTATTTCTTCCCGTTTTTTCCTTTCTTATTGTTCCAGAACTCCTCAGAGAGCCCGAACTGTGCCAGAAGTCTCCTGATGGCAGACAGAATGCAAATAGTCCTGACGGTCTCTGAATTTTTCAGTACCACGTGGCAGGAGGCGAACTGTGCAAGTGAGTGCTCCATGTCTCTGCCGCGGTGCTCCGTGTCTCTGCTGCGGGGCTCCGTGTCTCTGCCGCGGGGCTCGGTATCTGCCGCGGGGTTCCGTGTCTCTGCCGCGGTGCTCCGTGTCTCTGCCGCGGTGCTCCGTGTCTCTGCCGCGGTGCTCCGTGTCTCTGCTGCGGTGCTCCGTGTCTCTGCTCTAGTGTTCCTTGTCTCTGCTGCGGGGCTCCGTGTCTCTGCTGCAGTTCTCCGTGTCTCTGCTGCAGTGATGTGTCACATTTGATCTCACTGAGCTTTAGGGCGGCTGAAATTAGGCAATCTATTGTCACTAGAGTTGAAGGCGCTGTCACTGGGGTCACCGTGTATTAGACATTGCTGCCAGGGTGAGTTCTGGTAGTTAGAATTGTGTAGCAGATCTACGGGCTCTGAGGTCAGACAGGTGTTTGTTTGCTGTTGGGTTTGGGACAGTTAACACCTCTCATTGTTGTGACAGTGCCTGGCAGAAACAGGCCGTGAAGAGAAAGGTCTGTTTTGGTTCATGGTTGCAGAGGTTTTAGTCCATCCTGGAGGGGGAGGAGTGGCAGGATGGCTTTTTCCATGGGACCAGAATGGAAGGTGGCAGGTCATCACTGCAGGGGCTTCAGAGTGGGCAGACACACCCAGACACCAGGTTCTCACACAGAGGAGACTTATTGGCCTGGAGGCTGGGGTGGGGTGGGGAGCTGTCTCTGGAGTGGGCAAAGGCAGACAGCAGGTGTCTCTGCAGGAGTGGGTTTTAAGGAGGAAGAGGGAAGTCTGTGCGAGGTGAGTTGAACTGGTAAGTCCTAGTTGGACAGGTTAGCCAGCCTAGCCAAGTAATGAATTTAGTAGCTGGACCACAGAGTTTTAGTTAGGCTTAAGGAAGTGGCCAAATAAGGGAATAGACCTTGGGGACTGTAATGGTTGACAAGGAGACAAGGAGGAGAGAGGGCAAAACCTGCTGGTGCCATGTTTGCAATGCTTGGGCCTGTTAGCCCTTCAGTAAGGAGACTGCAGGCAGGTGTCATGTGATTGCAGACAAGCAGCAGAGAACTGTCCTGGAATAACCTTCAAAGGCCAGCCCCTATGTCTACCAGCGAGACCCCACCCCGTAAATATTCCGTGGCCCCCAAACTGTACTTTTTTTGGGTGAAAATTTCTTCTGTAAATAGGGATCAAGTGTTCACATGAGCTTATGGAGAGTATCTAGATTCAAACCTGTAACATCAGGTTTAAAAAATGTTTTTTCTTCTCAGACAGGTTTCATTACGTAGCCCTGGCTAGACTGGAATTCACTATATAAGCCAGGCTGGCCCCTGTCTCCCAACAAACATGCCTGGCTAAAAAATTTTTTGTTGTTTTTGTATGGCTCTTTTGCTATGTAACCTAGGCTGGCCTTGAATTTGCTATTGTAGCTCAGGCTACCCTCAAACTCAAGATCTTTCTGTTTCAGCCTTCAGAGAACTAGAATTAACATAACAACATGTGCCACTGGACCAAGAGGAGTGGGAGAAGGGGGAGGGAAATGGGAGACTGGGAGGAGGCGGAAATTTTTTTTTTCAATAAAAAAAAAAGAAAAACAAAACAAAACAAACCCCAAAGCATCGTTTACACTTTTACTCTCCGTGTCTTTCCCCCTTGTCAGTATATCATGCTGTGCTGACTGCTGGCTCTTCATTTTGTATTATTTCATTGCTTCTGGAAATTGATAAAAAGGGCTTAGCTGACAGAACTTTTTTTTTCTTTTTAGCTATTTCTTATATAGGCCAGGCTGACCTTGAACTTGGTATATATCTAAGGATGACCTTGAACTCCAGATCTCCCCCCCCCCCCCATGCTTCCACACCCATGTACTGGATCACAGGTGTGAAGCACCAGGCTGTTAATTTTAGCAACCGCTTCATGTGATGTCACTGGGCTAGCCTGGGCTCAATGTTGTTCTCCTGCATTCACCTCCCAAATGTTTGGGTCATAGGGATTTGTCACCACCACAGCTAAAGTTGAAAATTACTAGTATGAACAGACTGAAGAGCCTTTTTAAAAATCACCTAGGGATTGAAGATGTAGCTACCTCAGCAGAGTGCTTGCCTAAAGTGCATGAAGTCCTGGACTCCTTCTCCAGCACTACATAGAGTGAGCATGGTGACACATGGCTGTGACCCTAGCACATGGCTGTGGAGGCAGGAAGATCAGAAGATCAAAGTCACCCTCATCTACATAGCGAGTTTAAGGCCATCCTGGGCTACATGAGAGATCTCAAAATAGAGAACAGACAAACAAAATATATGTAGGAGGCTGGGGAGATGGCTCAGTTGGTAAAATGTTTGCTCTGCAAACATAAAGATCTGAGCTCAAATCGCCACTGCCTGTGTGGAAAAAACAGGCTCTTTTTTTTTTTTTTTTTTTTTTTTTTTTTATGACTCTGTGCACTTAAAGCTCTGGGAGCCACTTGGAGGCCCTGGGAGGTGCTAGGAGCTCATGAGCCAGCAGACTAGCCAATCAGTGATCTCTGGGATCAGTGAGAGACTGTGCCAATAAAGAAGGGGGATAGTGATAGACTCCTAATGGCCTCCACATATGTACACTGCACACATATGTAAACACACACAGAGAATAATACTAGAACTGTTTTTAAATGGGACTTTTGAAATTATTTTTATTTTATGTTTATGAGTTTTTGTTGGAAGGGGTTTCTGTCCCACCTGGTCCCGCAATAAACACACAGAAACTATATCATTTGCAATACTGTTTGGCCAATAGCTAGCTCTTATATCCTAAACTAACCCATTTCTATTAATCTGTGTATTGCCACATGGCTGTGGCTTATGGGAGAGACTACATGGTTTCTCCCTGACTCTGCCTACTCTCTCCCTATATATCTCTTCCAGCCTGGCTAAATTCTGTTAATCTATTGGTTGAAAGCAGTTTCTTTATTAACCAATAAAAACAACACATATCCAGAAGGACTTCCCACACCAAGTTTTTGCCTGCTCATATGTACATATACCACATGTTGTGCCTGGTGTCCTAGGAAGCCAGAGGAAGGCATTAGATCTCCTGGGACAAGAGTTAAAGATGGTTGTAAGCCACCAAGTGAGTGTTGGGAATCAGAACTGGGTCCTCTAGAAGGAAAAGCAGCCAGTGTTCTTAAGTGCTAAATCTCTAGCTTCTGGATGAGATTTATAACAATTTATTTTTTAAGATAGGGTTTCATGGAGTCCACACTGGCCTCAAACTCACTATGTATTCACAGCTGGTTCTCCTGCCCCTACTCCCAGGTATTGGGGTTGTAGTTGTATGCACGTGACCTCCTGGTTCTCCTGCCCCCACCCCCAGGTGCTGGACTTGTAGTTGTGTGCACGTGACCTCCTGGTCCTCCTGCCCGCGCCCCCAGGTCCTGGAGTTGTAGTTGTGTGCACGTGACCTCCTGGTCCTCCTGCCCGCCCCCCCAGGTCCTGGGGTCACAGTTGTGTGCACGTGACCTCCTGCCCCCCCCCCCAGGTCCTGGGGTCACCGTTGTGTGCATGTGACCTCCTGGTCCTCCTGCCCTCACCCAGGTGCTGAAGTTGTAGTTGTATGCATGTGAACTCCTGGTCCTCCTGCCCTCCCACTCCCAGGTGCTGGGGTCGCAGCTGTGTGTTCTTTTGTTCTCTGAACCATCCTATCTTGAAAATATTGCTTTGACTGAACTTCTGAGGAATGCACCTCTAAGCGGTTAGAAACAAGTTGTTCAAGAGGTTATTATTGCCTAATTAGAATTAATTAACAAGCCAGGCGAAAGAATTAAAGGTGCGGATGTGTTTTAGGGAGTGGAAGTAGGTCAGCTGAGGGACAGGAAACGAGGGCTCCATTTTCACTAAATTCGCATTTACCTGCTTTCAACTGTATGCTGCATGCGTCTAATTCCCATTCAGAGCTATCTAGAACACTCAGAAGCTCCTCAGGATGTCCAGAATATGGCATTTCTGTGTCAGATGCAGTCAGAGGGGCCAAATGTTTTATTTTCCAGGATTGTGCATTAAAACTGACTTCTCATTTGTTGTTTTAATCCTATTTTAAAATGTTTCACAATTTCTAGACTGACTTTTAAATGGAATTGAAATAGCTTTAAGAGATTGGACCCAATAAATTTCATTTTTTTTTGTTTTTTGCTTTATTCAATAGTAGCATTTTTTCCTCTTCCTTTTTCTTTCTTTCTTTTTTTTTTTTTGGTTATTATTATTGTTATCTGGTCCCAGATTAATTCCTTAAGTTTTTTTTACTGCTTTCTGTTTTCGTGGCTGGCATCTAGTGTAATCATTTTAAACTAGACTCTTCACCAAGTGTATAAGCCCTTCTAATTATGCTCTCTGCACACCTAACTCATGAAGATATCTGAAACATTTAAAAAGAATTTTTAGAAATTTTAAAGATATTTATAGTGGTTGGGGCTTAGGCAAGTGGCAGCGTGCTTGCCTGAGGCCCAGGGTTGGGTCTCCAGCTCCAAGAGAGAAATCTCACTTATCAGAATGTCACAAAGCATTCTTGCTTGTGTTCCACAGTCTAACGAGACACTGGGAATCTGGATGAAGAAGGAAATGGGAGTGAGCAGGGTTGTGAAAGGGTCTCTCACCCCATTCCCCTGTGAGCTTCACACAGAGCCCCGTGTGTGAGGTGAGAAGGTGAGGGCATGTGTGAATGGCAGGTGAAGAGTCAGGAATAGATGGGGGCAGGGTGGGAAGGTTGCAAGTGTTCTTCTCCATCCTGCTGTGTAGGGTGTATACCTGCTGGAAGCAGAGTTCAAAAGCCAAAGTGTTAAACATGTGTGAAGTAAAAGCTATAGCAAGTTCCTGAGCCAAACCTTTACTCACCTGCACTATGAAACAGGAGTCAGTTCTCTCCGTCCATCACGCGGGTCCCTTGGACCCCAACTCAGCTCACCTTTACCCTCTAAAGCCCTGTCGCCAACCCCTGGAAATGCACTCTTTCTTTAGAGGCTGCCTGTAATTCCAGTGTCCTGGCTGGTATATTATGAGCGTGATGTTGCCACCGAAGCGCCTTGTGATCTTGAAGAGCATCCTGATTCATCAAAGGGAAACTAGCCTTCAACTAAAGTATTCGTGACAAAACCATTAGCAGTAAACATGCTGCTGGATCAGAGGGGCTGCCAGGCAGAATCCTTCTTTGTCAGGTGCTGTCTATGTGGAAAAGCCCTTCTTTGTATAATTTTTAGATAGTTTTCAGATTTTTAAACCTAATTACAACACTCTCACTGTTTAGTCTGTATTTTCTGAAGCCTGCTCAACTTTTCAGAAAGCGGGGATCATTGTTCTCCATGATGTTCATCCTCTCCTTCAATCCTGTGGGTGCCTAGGACCCCAACTCAGGTTGTCAGGCTTGGCAGCAAGCATCTTTACCTTCTCAGCCATGTCACCAGCCCCTGCAAATGACCCTTTCTCCGTGGGCAACCTGTATTGTTTGTAGTGAGTCAGGTGTCTGTGTGTCTCAGGCTGGCCTTGGGCATGGGCTCACAAGCCTCCTGTCTCAGCTTCCCAGAATTAATTCGTGCTCCTCCTGTCTTAGTTCCCTGAATGCTGCTGGGCTTATAGGGATGTGCCAACATAAAACCACTTTTAAAGCAGCAGGGATGGGCTGAAGAGGGGGCTCAGAGGCTAAGAGCCGTTGCTGCTCTTGTAGAGGGCCCAGTTCAGTTCTCAGGACCTGGGTTTGGTTCCCAGCACTCACAGGTAGCTCACACCTTTCCGCCACAGAATCTGACATCTTCTAACCTCCTTGGGCAACACACACACACACGCACACGCACACACGCACACCACATATACAATGTGTACAGGCAAAACACTCATGTACATAAATAAATCTTGGAAAATCGTTGCAAATCATTAGAGATCTGGAGGCAGACTCCTAGTAGATACCACATCTGTAAAGGTGAGTGGTCTTGGTGGGGCACACCTGGAATCCCAGCACTCAGGAGGCCGGGACAGGGAGGTAAAAGGAGTGCGGCCCCTGCCGCTAAGGTACTCGGGACTAGAAGCATAGCTCAGTGACAGAGTGCTTTGCTAGCTATATAGGGGGAGCAGGTTCAGTCCTCAGCCCTGGGGATGGAAGACAGAATCCACACAATTCTGTTGTAGTACTTTAGCCAGTTTCTGTGTGAGGTTTTGACTGGAATCCTCTGCGCCCTGAAAAAGGCCTCTTGAGCTGATACCCACGTCCTCGTGGAGACAGAAGCTGTGCTAATCTGCCTTTGATGAGGCTCCTTTGATTATCTGAGATGAGGCCGAAGCACAATGACCACTTCACTCCGTGCTCACAGAGACCTTTGTCGTCGCCACCTTCACTGCTTCCTAATTTCTAAACTGTGTAGCTTCTGACTGTGTACAACCTTAGGTTCCCCATTCTCCCCAGTAGATAAGGGGATTTACTAGAGTTCCTTTGTTTTGAATCAAAAGTCAGGGTGCTTCTAATAATGAAGACATGTTTAACCTCCTTGTATAAGTGAACTCCTTTGTGCTTTGTAACACCACTGCCTACCAGTCACTGGGAAAACCATACTGTGCCAGCGCAGCACTTAATCAGACCATCCGGCTCGATTAGCTTTTCATTTAATTTCCCAATTATTTTAAGTGAAAAGAAAATGGCTGTAAAACAGAAGAGATTAGATCCTTTTGTTCCTCGGAGAGGCTTTCTTTATAAATAATTTTATAAAGAAGTTATTTTTTAAAGAGTTGTCTATTTTTATTATGTATACAGTGTTCTGTCTGCATACATTTCTATCTGCCAAGAGTGCATCAGATCTCATTATAGATGGTGAGCTCACAACAGATGGTTGTGAGCTGCCATGTGGTTGCGGGGAATTGAACTCAGGACCTCTGAGAGAACAGCCAGTGGTCCTAATCTCATGTTACTTGTGTTTCTTGCACAGAAGAAGCTGCCAGAGCTGTCAGAGCAGCTGTGCTGCTGCTGTGTGTGCATAGGGCCACCCTCCTGCCATCTTTGCTGTGCATGCCACGCACAGCAAGACTCCTGACACTGGTGTCCGCTTGCTGTGGATGATCCTATGCTTCCAGAACTCCTGTGAGACACTAATCCCCAAGCTGAAGACTGTTAGCCAGATATTCGAATGTTCTCTGAGTTTAACTGTGCTTATTTTTGTTTTTATCTATTTTACCTGATCCCTAAAAGGAGCCAAGGCTACTTCATGTTAATAACATAGCATGTAAACAGAGCTTATATTATTTATTACTTTAAAAAGAATTTAGTAGACAAGGCCTGGGAGCCTACAGCTTTAATCTCAGCACTCAGGAAGTGGGTGGATTTCTGACTTCAAGGCCAGCCTGATCTACAGAGTGGGTTTCAGGATAGCCTGGGCTACACAGGGAAAACCGTATCTCAACAAAACAAACGACAGCAACAACAAAAAGATTTTAGTATTTAAGCTTTGTGGATGCTGACGTATGGAATAATGAATACTTAATTAGTAAAGAAGAATGCTGTGCTTCAGGAAATACAGGTGTGTGGAGATGCATCTGGCATTTTGGCTTACTGACTTGTGTGTAGTCTTGGTGTACACTTTTCTCTTACTGACTTGTATGTAGTCTTGGTGTACACCTTCTTTCTCTGGTATAGTTCACTCATCGGCAAAGGGAGCCATCTCTTTGTAAATGATTGACAAGCAACTAGAACTGGACTTAATGTGTCTGAGAAGATAAACTTTAGAGACTGTAGATTCTCGGGCTCAAAGAGGCAACATCTAGGACAGGCTCACCAAGAGGACCCCATCCATGTTCACTGGTGCAGAGGGGCCTGCCCAAGTGTGTGCAGGAGGGTCTCTCTGCCTGTCTGTGAATCTACTGGATTCCAGCTGACCTCTAGTCATGTGAGCGTCGGCTTCCAATGTCTCAGAGTTTACAACAGAGAAGTTAAAGTGCTGGCTGTCCTGCCCTCTTACCCAAGTTCAGGTTCCTTCTTTCTGACCAGGTGACAATGACTTCCCGAATCCCTGGAGGTGTTAGGTTCTTGTGGGTGCTGGAGGAGGAGCCTTAGCATGCAGCTGACTCTTGAGTGCTGAGTTAACTGTTTAGACTGTAGATGTCAATGCCTGCACATATGTGTTACCCTGCAGAGTTTGAAAGTGCTGGCTCAGCAGCAGACAGATCACAAAATCCAGCTTTCTGTGTATCCGTTTTGTGTGCTTGGGCCGGCTCCTTTATTTCTCTAAACTGTTTCTTATTTTTCATTTATTTAAAAATTTTAGCTATTTGCTAAGTGTGGTGATATACACCTTTAATCCCAGCACTTAGGAGACAGAGGCAGATGGACTTTGTAAACAAGCCTGGACTGCATGAGTTCCAGGCCAGCATAGACCTTGTCTCAAAAATTAAAAGACAATATTTTTTAGGAATTTATTTATTTTTATTTTATGTGCGCAAGTGTATATTTTTTAGGAATTTATTTATTTTTATTTTATGTGCACAAGTGTTCTGTCTGCACATATGTCTGTGTACCACATGCATGTATCTGATGTTGGAGGAGGCCAGAAAAGAGCATTGGATCCTCTGGAGAGAGTTACAAATAGTTGTGAGCCTCCAGGAGGGCGCTGGGAACCAAACCCAGGACCTCTGCAAGAGCAGCAAATGCTCTTAACTGCTGAACCATCTCTCCACTCCCAATTTTTAAAGAGTTTGCTTTTATTTTGTGGCGTGTGTGTACAGGCACCGTGGAGGCACCAGGGCAACTCTTAGAGCTCAGTTCTTGCCTTCCACCGTGGGTTCCAGGAATCTAGCTCAATCGTGTGGCAAGTGCTTTTGCCTTGCTGTTTATTTTTAAGGTGGAGATAATAGCTCTTGCCTTATAGACTCGCTTCAGGGATGAAATGAGTCCATGTGCCATAGGTGTAACCACACTTGCAGTATACTATTCAGCAACGCCAGCTTGCAAGATGGGAGTGATCGCTGTGTGTGAGCTGTCTTGTGGCTTGTCCTGGTGTCTGCTCAGTTCTCCCCTTGTCACAGCCACAGCTTGCTGTTGGGTTTCTTCACTCCTTCTAGATGGTTCTGATTCTCTAAGTCAAGTGGATGCAGAATAAAACTATGTGTGAAAATTAAGAACACAGGAATGGGCCAAGCACTAGGGAATAGGTGTTTGAAGCACCCCTTGTGGGCTAATTGCTGGGGCATCTATAAGGATTGTTTCATGACCCTGAAACCAGAAAGCAATGAATTTGAATCAAGTTCTTTCATCATAAGTTAGAGTATATAAAGCAGATGGGGATGTCTGTGGGCATGTGCAGGGTAGAGAGTCAAGGTATTCACAGGAAGTGGAGGGGACAGAAGAACAGGAGGTCACGCTAGAGCAGGGACAGCAGCTGCGATGAATACCACAGATACGGAATCCGCAGACACACGAAACAGTTGTTTTTTTCCAGACCTTAGGAAGTTTCTGTCAGGTTTTTAGACCAAATTCCCACCAGGCTGTCTCTCTGGGCCCCCAGCTCTTGGTCCGTTCAGAATAAATGGAAAAGGCCATCCTGCTAGGGACAGAAAGAGGTCGGGAGGTTAGAAGAGGCAAGAGCTACTGAATCTGACACCTAGGTAACAAGACAAGGGAGGATCTAGGCAAAGTTACTACAAGGTAAAGTTTTCCATCTGAATAGCACACTGGGCACTGAGAGCTGAGCGTTCACTAACTTTCACCATTAACAGACAGGGTTTTGTAAGAAGAGAATGTGCAACTATTTTAAGACTTTCGATAAAAGTTTAAAAAATAAGTTTGGAAGCTAAAAGGGCTAAAAACTTTGAGTATTTGGAAACTTGTGTTGTGTGGAAGACTTCATGCTTGTCTGTTTGGCAGCGGTTGTAGGCCAAACTGAACAGTCCCCGAGAGATAAGTGACAGCATGCTGTTGTTAGTGATGACCCCTTTACGTACCGCGTTCTGTTTCATTGTCTTTACAGATTGCTTAACGAACGGCAGTGAAGCTTTGTCAAATAACACCGAGTATTTCCTCAGTCTGTTTAACAAGACTCTGACGTGCTTTGAGCACAACCTGCAGGTGAGTTATATAAACTTGTGCCGTAATGTGTAATTGTAACTGTTTGCAGCATCAATTGTGGTATTTATTTGGACTCATAAAAGAATTAGTGAGCTTTCATTTCTACGCGTAGATTATTTCCACTTGGAAATACTAATGCTTAAAGCTCAGGACCCGCCCCGTAGCTGGCAGGCAGGCAGAAAGGCAAGCAAATCTCTGAGAGTTCAAGGCCACTGCTACACAAAGCCACTTCCAGGCCAGCCAGGGCTACACAGCGAGGTTGTCTTTAAATAAAAAAAAAAAAATTAAAAAAAAAAGGTGGGGGAAGATAAAGGAAAGGGAATGAAGCGTAGGGGGTTGGGGAGGTGACTCAGTGGTTAAAAAATACCAGGTATGGTGGTGCACACCTTTAATCTCAGCACTTGGGAGGCAGAGGCAGGTGGATCTCTGTGAGCGTGAGGTCAGCCTGGTCTACAAAGCAAGTTCCAGGACAGCCAGACTGTTACATAGAAAAACCCTGTCTCAAAAAACAAACAAAATAATAATAATAATAATAATAACAAAAAATCTTAAAAGGAAATAGGGGCTGAAGAGATGGCTCAGTGGCTAAGAGCACTGGTCGCTCTTGCAGAGGACCTGGGTTCAGTTCCCAGCACCCACATGGCAACTCTAGCTCCATGAGCACTGGATATCTTCTGGCTTCTGTAGACACCAGGCACACACATGGTATACATGCATACATGCAGAAAACACCCATGCACATAAAATAGATTTTGAAAAACATTCCTTTTTAAATTGGAGTAATTTTTAATTAAAAAAATCTCAGGTAAATATTATAGAACCAGCAATTGTTAGTCACTGGTTCACTCAGTGAGAACAAAGGTTCTTCAGAAGTTTCCACACAGTTTCACTCATGTCCCCCTGTTTTCAGACGTCCTCACTGAGAGGACACTGAGGCACAGAGGTAACTTGTGTGAGGCCAGGCTGCAGGGAGACGCAAGGGGAGGGCCTTGAGGAGAATGTTTGGGGCCAGAGAGATGTACAGGCACTGGCTGTCAAGCCTGGTGACTTACATCTTAGGACCCACATGGTCCTAAGTAGGAACCCACTCCAACAGGCTCTCTGACCACTGCTTACACAGGACAGCAAGTGTGTGCCTGTGCATTCTTGCACATGTATGCACACGCACATATAAATAGCCAATAATAAATAAATGCAATACAATTTTAAAAGAATTCTGTTTTGAACATGTTCAGTATGATACTCTTATGCTCCTATCAGACATCCAACTCAGATGATGCTAACCATGAGGTGGGGCAGGGCTGCCAGGTTGAGTACCATCTGACACAGTCCCGGTGAGGTGGGGCAGGGCTGCCAGGTTGGGTACCATCTGACACAGTCCCGGTGAGGTGGGGCAGGGCTGCCAGGTTGGGTACCATCTGACACAGTCCCGGTGAGGTGGGGCAGGGCTGCCAGGTTGGGTACCATCTGACACAGTCCCGGTGAGGTGGGGCAGGGCTGCCAGGTTGGGTACCATCTGACACAGTCCCGGTGAGGTGGGGCAGGGCTGCCAGGTTGGGTACCATCTGACACAGTCCCGGTGAGGTGGGGCAGGGCTGCCAGGTTGGGTACCATCTGACACAGTCCCGGTGAGGTGGGGCAGGGCTGCCAGGTTGGGTACCATCTGACTCTGGTGAGGCTAGATTAAGAGTGAAGGTAAAATGGCTCTGTGGGCTGAGTCCAGGGACAGGTCAGCATTTTATAGGGTAGTGGGGACTGCGTGATGGGGCGCAGCCAACAGACATGTGACAGGTGGCACCGCGGCTTTCAGCATAGCGAATGGTCAGGGAGGAGAGTCACAGGCTACACCAGATCCACCTTGAGCAGTGGATGCTAACAGGTGGTTTCTCTCGAATCCCAGCCTGCCCTGGTGACAGCACAGAGAGGACAGGCCAGGCTACTGTGACAGTGCCCTGTGTCTCAAGTCTGTGGGTAGTCGTGGGCAGAAGGGTGTAGCACCTTCCTGGGGTGCTGTGGGTGTAGGAGAGGCTTCCTGAGCTGAAGTGGGCCCACGTGCAGTGTTTTTCCAGGTTCTGGCGTCAGCCTCATTTCACTGGGCCTTAGGGAGGAGTCCTCAAAGCCCCCACATGTGCCATCACCTCCCATCTTCTAGAATCCCTCTCCCTCCCTCATCTTCAGAAGCTGTGCCGTTTTCAGAGTGCGATGATGCTACCGTTTATTTAATTAGTCCCTCCTCGGAGCGGGTCAGATGGTGTTTGTTTTAGTGTTTGACGGTTACAAAAAATGCCACTCACAGCCTTTTGCACATCAGCGGAAGTTCTTATAAGAATGTGTTTAGTGGATTCCTAGGAGTGGAATGCCATACCAAAAGTGTGTGCGTTTTTAGTTTTAGTAAAAGGAACTGTATTATCCCCGCCCACACCACCACCACCAGGATTCTGTGCTGGGTCTGTGCAAAGCCTTCCATGTGCGCTTTCTTGGAGGAGTTTAAGGGGAGACGCTGTGTCAGCTGGATGGTAAAGGTCACATTGTAGGTCCAGTTGCTCTGATTTTCCTCTTCTCTTTCACCCCCATGATCAGTAGATGTCCTTTGCTCACGCTCCATGGTAAATAATTAAAAAAGTAGAGAGCAAAGGTAAGGGTGTCTGCCTAGAAGCTGGAACTTGAGAGTTGCTGGCATCGAACATTACTGTGTGTGTGTGTGTGTGTGTGTGTGTGTGTGTGCGTGCGTGCATTTGTGTGTGGGGTATGTTTGTGTGTGTGCGTACGTGCATGCATGCATTTGTGTGGGGGGTGTGTTTGTGTGTGCGTACGTGCATGCATGCATTTGTGTGGGGGGTATGTTTGTGTGCATGTGTGTGCATGCACAGTGAAGTTCCATGGCATGTAAACTACTCATGTCTCCAGCATCCTCTTCAGCATTCATCAGAGGCCTGTGTAGTGGTTTTCAAGATTAAGAGACACCTAGAGAGTGCTAGATGCCTTTGCTTTGTGCCCGCATACCAGATCTAGAAGGTTCTAGACCCTTGCCTTGTGTCCTCAAGTCCTCAGGACTCCTCGCCCAGGAGGTCTAGTAACCTCCCGTCATAGCAGCCCATCATCACTATCTCCTCTCTCCTCCTTGGGTTAACAGTGACTTTTGTGCATTTCCTCTCTTCCTTTTTATCAATGTATGTTAATTGTAAGCAGCAATGAGTTTTAATATGACATTTTATTTTCTTACATGTATATAAGCTATGCCTTGATCATGCTCACAGACCCTTTGGCCTTCCTTTGTCTCTCTTCCACCTCCCGTCGGTCCTCTACCAATTATTCCCCTTTACTTTCAAACCCTGTGTGTATTCATTCCAGCTGGGCTGTGGAGGCAGAGAGGAGGAAAGACAACTCTGCCATTGAAACTGTGGTGGAGGTCAGACTCACGGCGGACCAGCAGCCACGCAGCAGGGAGGGAGGCTTTCGAGGACGAGTAGGGAATGAAGCCTGAGGTGCTGGTGTAGGCCAAAGTGTAAAGGAAAGCCTGCTAGAGAAGAGATGGAAGGGGGGAAGGTACACTTCTCTGAGTAACAGGAAAGTCGCAGATGTGTGGAACCTCTTGGCTGTGACAGGTAGCTGCTGACTGTTCTCTTGATGACGGCCATTCTGACTGCATGGAATAGTGGCTTTGATTTGCATTCATCTGATGGCCATTTTTTTCAGGTATTTATTGCCACTTGTATTTCTTTTGAGATCTATCAACTCATCTGTCCATTTATTGATTGTTTGTTCCTTTGGAGTTCATTGATTTCAGCTCTGTGTGTATTTCTTGCGTTCTCAGTCTGCAGAGATCAGGGACAGCTGGCAGGTCACCTCCTCCTTCTAGGACTCCCACCTTTGCTGGGCAGGGCTTTGCAGCCCCGTGCAGTTGGGTTGTGATTCATGCCTGTTCCCTGAGCTGTTAGAGTTTTGTGGGGTTTTTGTTTGTTTGTTTGTTTTGGTTTGGTTTGTTTGCTTTTTCTAAAGAGGGGTTCACTGTGTCGCCTTGGCTGTCCTGGACCCACTCTGTAGACCAGGCTGGGCTAGAACTCACAGAGGTTCACCTGCCTCTGCCTCCCAATGCTCGGATTAAAGGCGTGCATTACCTGGTATCCTCTCTCTCTCTCTCTCTCTCCCTCTCTCCCTCCCTCTCCCCCTTTTCCCTCCCTCCCTTCCTTTTTCTCTTTCTTTTAGAATGATTTTCATATATTTACTTGGGGGTACATGAGGAAGTCAGAGGACAGATTGCATGTGGGTTCCAAGGACTGCACCCTAACCCCCACCCCCACCCTAGCCATCAGCTGCGTTCATTGCCCAGTCTTATAACTTTGTGTTTTCTGTATGTTCTTCCAGTAGTTTCAAAGTTTCAGGTCTTAAATTAAGGTTTTTGATCCGTTTTTCAGTTGATTTTTTTACGGTGAGGGCTGGGGATCTGGGTCCAGACCTGACACAGATATCCAGTTCCCTGTTCCATTTGTTAAGGAAGCTCTTTCCCCAGGGTTTGCTGTCTCATCTGTCTGGTGGCTATGGCTGTGGGTTTGTTTCTGGGGTCAGGCTAGTACTTTAACACACCATAGTGTCTTCTCTTCGGGCTTGGAGGGAGAGGGTGTCAGGCGGTTGACATGCAGGGGTGCCATGCCCAATATGTACTGTGTGTCATACGCCTATCCACCTTTGTCATTTCAGGGGCGCACATACAATCTTCTCTCACCAAAAAATTACTCCGAAGTGTGTAAAAACTGCAATGATGCATACAAAAATCTGAGCACCCTTTATAATGAGCTGCAGAAAATGAACGGGCTTGAGAACAAGGCTGAACCGGGCACGCACCTGTGCATTGATGTGGAAGATGCAGTAAGTACCTACTCTGGCATGGCTCACGGTTTGCAGCTGTTGGGTGCACTTTCAGTGCCCTCGTCTCTTTGCGGGTGCACTGGAATATGCATGGCATCTTCACCCAGAAGGAACTGCAGTAGTTACAGAGTAGTGAGGTTTTATGGATCTGTATCAAACCAGGATGGCCATTAACCAGGCTCCTCATGGATGAGTTACTTCAGCACATTTTGATTTTAAAGTAAAAAGTGGGTGTGGTTTTGAGGGGCGTGGCGCTCTTGTCCGGTGGTGCTGGTTAAAGAGGTTTGACGTTTTACTGCCATGTTTTCAGAGATCTTAGTCACTTAATTGTTGATTAACTTCTTTATATGTGTGATAGCCTGAAAACATTTTCTCATGGCTGTCTCCTCACTGAAATAAAAGCCACATGAGGACGAGGACCAAGTGCTTCTTTTCCAGTTTTTGAGATAAGTTTCTCTGTGTAACAGTCCTGGTTGTCCTAGAACTCACTTTTGTAGCCCAGGCTTCGAACTCACAGAAATCACCTGTCTCTGCCTCCCAAGGGATTAAAGGCGTGTGCACCACTGCCCGGTTTGACTTAGTGTTTCTTAATTCATCATTTAGTAGGTAGGACAAAAAACAGGAGAGAGAGAGAGAGAGAAAGAGAGAACACGTGGTGTGCACACTTTCTTTTAAAAGGAAGTCTTACTATGAAGCCTAGGCCTGTAGGGGAAGCTTTGAACTTGAAGTGATCCTCCTGCCTCATCTCCTTAGTACTGGAATTACAGGCGTGTGCTACCATGCCCAAAATGGCGTTTAGTGCTGCTTTTGTTAATAGTGTTGGTAGAGCAAATGTTGGGGCTTGGGGAAGCTTTTCTCCACTGTATAGCTTGTCTTTTCACACATCACCACTAGGTGGCAGTCGTGCCCCCTAGGCTATATGATGCCTGAGAATTAGTTATTTGGGAAAACAGATCTTTGGCTCAAAGTAGAAAACTCAAGGTCAAAATAGCTAAACTTACTTGTTAGGAATAAGTGTGAATATCAAACCAACTTAGAACAGTAGTGCTGAGGATAGCAAAAACCACTCAACGTGGCTGCTCCTAATAGGACTTTGATCTTATATCTCTGTCCTAGGATTGTACTTGGTTAATGGCAGGCTGTCAGTAATAAATAAACTTTAAACAACGAAACAGAATCTTAACTCTATTTTTATAGCTGTATATTCTCTGGGAGATAAAATGGTTCACATTCTAGCATTTCTTGGTGATTATCATATGTTTAGAGTATTATGTTTTGTGTGGTTATAAATTTATACAGTGACTAATTGTAAACAAGTTTCTTTCCCTGGCAGAAAAAAACTATTCTCAACTATCAGTAGATTTTTAAGGCTGTTCTAAAAGATTATATATATCCACTAAAGACAAGTGTGATATCAGATAACAATATAATGTGCATTTTTCCAGATGAACATCACCCGAAAGCTCTGGAGTCGAACCTTCAACTGTTCGGTCACCTGCAGTGACACGGTGTCCGTAGTCGCTGTTTCTGTGTTCATCCTCTTTCTGCCCGTTGTCTTCTACCTTAGTAGCTTCCTTCACTCGGAACAAAAGAAACGCAAACTCATTCTACGTAAGTTCCTCGCTGTAGTCTTTCTTCTGTTTAGTTAATGGCATCTGTGAGGAGATTTGGGGGTTGAGGAGTTGGGAGGACAGTGTTAAACCACCGGCCTGCATGCCCAAGTCGCTCAGTAGGAAGAAGTATGTAGGTCTGTTTTAGAAAGACTATGGCGTGCACCTTTGCCTGCCAAGCCGTCTTCCTCGCCCCATGTGGTCTTTTTTTAATGGCATTCAGTCAGTAAGCTGGTGTGAGCTGAATAATGCAGGCTGCTTAACTTTCATTTACTTGTTCTGCCTGATGGATTCGTCTTCCTTGATTGGATTGTGAAGCTCGTCAGAAGAAGAATTTTTTTCTTGTTTATCATCGTCTTACCAGAACCTAAGAAGTGCCTGGCCACAGCGAGTGCTCATGAGCATTTGTTGAACAAAATAATAATGTAGTCTATTTAATAATAGTATCGCTCCTCAGAATACTATTCCTGTGAAAATTCCTATGGGGAAAATACTGGATCAAATAATGTCAGGCAAATACAACGATCCATCCACCTATTCTGGAGGCAGACTAGGTGGATGGATCATTGTATTCTAAGCCAGTCTGGGCTACAGAGCAGTTCTAAGCCAGCCACAGCTTCACAGTTCAACCCTAGCTCAAAAACAAACATTAAATAAATAAAAAAAACAAAGCAAACAAACAACAAAAATGAGAGAAAGGAAGAAGCGGGTGGGAAAACCATGCCGACAAATCCCCACAAGCGCTAGTGTGCAGAAGGAGCCCTCATGGACACTTCCTCTCCCTTTCCACCTTTATTCTCCTTCCTCTTCCCTTTTCCCTTCCTCCCTCCATAAGCTGACGACGTGATGGTCTATGGTATGGTTGAGGGGACAGTTTTTATTGTAAACATGAAATAGAGAACAGCCAGAAGCATCTGGAAGAGTCCAGAGCAGGGAGAGAAAGAAGTAGACATGGCCAGGGCTGTGGGGGTTGAGGGAGGGATAGCAGGAGATAGAGAATAGAAAAACAGTGAAGAGAAGCAGAGCAGATCAGGTTGGGGTAGGGGAAGAGCACCCAGGCTGACCTTGAACTCACGGCAGTCCCCCTGCCTCAGCTTCCCACATGCTGGGATTGCAGGTCTGCCCCATAAGGTCTGGCTCATGTATTTCTCATTATGCTTCTGTTCAATAAGCGGTTACTCACTGTTAACCAAAACATACTGTAATGAAATGTGGTAAAGGAAGAAGGTACAGTGTGATGATCCTACCCCGGTCATGACAGCTGTGCAGATGTGGAGGTGCACAGTGTGACTGCATCACAGAGTGAGGGACACTGGAACACACCCACAGATGATGCTTTGGGTAGGAGTTTAGAGGATGTGGGGCCTTGCCAACTAGACTAGAGAGGCCAGCAAGTTTCAGGTCCTTGGATTTCCAGGTCTTACTACCTTGCCAGTTTATTAAGTAATTTGATAATTAGTAAGAAGCAGTTTTTAGTAAAGTAAGTAAAAACCAAGCCAAAACAAAAAACCTGAGCTACTGATTTCATTTGGTTTCCAAATCCACCCCAGGCTTAGTACACTTAAAAGCTGCCCACTGGTCCAAGAAGCCATGCTAGGGCTGTGATTCTTTTTTTTTTTTTTTTTTTTTTTTTTTTGGTTTTTCGAGACAGGGTTTCTCTGTGGCTTTGGAGCCTGTCCTGGAACTAGCTCTCTAGACCAGGTTGGTCTCGAACTCACAGAGATCCGCCTGCCTCTGCCTCCCGAGTGCTGGGATTAAAGGCGTGCGCCACCACCGCCCGGCTAGGGCTGTGATTCTTGCCTTTGGCTATGGGACTCATGACAGGGTTTAAACAAGACAGGAACAGAGGTGCCAGGGCCCTGCTGCAGCCCTGCTCTGGGCTACAAGCCTTCAAGGCCAGCCACTCTCGGATCGTAGCATGCGACTCTGGAGCACGAGAAGCATTCACACTTAACCGTTCTAAACACTTGACCTAGCCAGGGAGCTGTGAGTCTATGTTTAGACAAGTGGTTCAGTCCCATGACTATCATAATCATGGCTGGTTGTGCCATTTTGTTAATGGTCTGTCTATTTGTGCACGTACATGTGATGTACAACTCAGTTTTCTTTGTAAATCTTTTTCTTTTTAAACTAGAGAGGCCTTTGACTGAATTTTATCCTTATTTATTAGCATATGGTAGTAATTATACAACACAATAAGTTTCATTGTGACATTTTCAGACACACACACACAATGGTGAAGTTTTGTTGCTGTTCTGGTTTGGTGCTGGGTACTAAATACCCTTTACCACTGAGCTAGTTCCCTAGTCCCCCCAAAAAGTGTTTACATGCATGTCTGAGGGTTTCACTGTGTTGCAGAGGTTGACCTGGAACTTGCTATGTCGTCTTGGCTGGTTTTAAACCCACAATCCCCCAGTCTTAGTCTCCCGAGTGCTGGGATTACAGGCTCGTAGCATGTGCCTTGCTTGAGGAAATGTTCCTTCTGCGTATACTTTCCCTCTTCTTGTCTCGCCACATTGCACGGCTTACATTAGTATACAGTGTTCCATAAGTGGCTGTCGTCTCGTTCTAGATTTAGGAACAATTCCTCGGGCTTCATACTTAAATATATCTGCTGTAGAGGCTTTGCAGACATTTTTTGTCTCCTAAGGGGTGTTTAGGGTCAGATTTTTAGCCTGGACTTTTACTCTTTATCCACACGTTTAAGATCGAATGCTCAAGAGGGGATAGATGCCTGTTTTATTCGATACTGCTTTTAAACAAGTCATGGGTAATTTCTATTTAGCTTAATTTTATGCTGTTTATAAAGAAAAAAAAACATGTTAGGTTTAATTCTAAAAAATTGGATCAAATCCGATTCAGCCAATAAATAGACAGACACAGTGGTTTGCGCGTAGACCGTGAGCGCGCCTGGACTGACAATGCTTGTGTCTCCCCAGCCAAGCGTCTCAAGTCAAGCACCAGTTTTGCCAACATTCAAGAAAATTCCACCTGAAACCTGCAAAGCGTGGACTCGACCTCACATGGCGTGAGTGGGTGGTTGGACCACCGTGTGGTCAGGAGACGATGAACCAGGATCTGACACATCACCTTCTTATGAAATGCCAGCGCCGCGTATTTATAATGTATTCTGAACGACAGTTTTCACATTTCCTTTCCCTGCCCACCCATTTGTAAAGATTTCTGTATTTTTAATTTTCGGATACAGTAGTGTTACATATTCTAAGGTGTATGTGTTAGAGTAGCAGCGAGGACTTTGTTTTTGCGGGCGTATGACTACTTGGCACTCCTGATATCTCCTCATTGACACTTCGAAGTCCACAGAACCCAGGCCGCTGGAGACTGCCGTACACACATTAGCCACTATTGCCGACCCAGATGGCAGCCGGCCCAAGGAGTAATGTAAATGACTTCCTATTGCAGTATTATTGTGTATGTGTATATATAAGTATTTAATATATTATACATTGAAATAATGCACTCTCTAGTTTCCCTGAAGTCATATTTGAAACCACTAATTGTAAACCTCCTTAACAATTTTCAGACGTGATGAGCCACATCGTACATTCGTCTTTGTTAAAAGATGTATGGTAACTGGTTTTCTTACTTGACTTTTATAAATAGTATTTTACACCTTATTTTTGCCTTTATTTCATAAGTAATTTAAAATCACTGGACTTCTCTATTAGCTTCAGGACAGGATGGTTTATTTTATGCCATGGATTTACATTGTGAATTTCATTAAATTATTTGGCGACTTGTAACTTATTCTTTAAATGAAATATAGTACAAGTGTGTCACACTGTATAATTGTGCTTTTTAATGAAATATAGTACAAGTGTGTCACACTGTATGATTGTGCTTTTTAATGAAAATTTCATCTTGGAATATTTGGAGAGTTGGAGAGAGGTGAAGGAGGAATACCGGAGCCTAAAGTTGAGGGAGTGGACAGGGAGGAGGGGGGTGCTCACTGAGAATCTAAAGTTGAGGGAGTGGACAGGGAGGAGGGGTGCTCACTGAGAATCTAAAGTTGAGGGAGTGGACAGGGAGGAGGGGTGCTCACTGAGAATCTAAAGTTGAGGGAGTGGACAGGGAGGAGGGGTGCTCACTGAGATTCTAAAGTTCAGGGAGCACACAGGGAGGAGGGGTGCTCACTGAGAATCTAAAGTTGAGGGAGCACACAGGGAGGAGGGGTGCTCACTGAGCAGGCACTGCATAGTTTATAGGGGAGGTAGCTGGGTAACAGTCTCACACCGGAAGCTCTTCAGCCAAGGTGATGTCCCCTCCGATTACGTATAGGATGAAAGCGATATGACAGAAATGAAATCACATGTTTCCCTGTCAGGAAACAAGGTCTACTTTGGAATGTTTCCATCAACCTTTCAAACAATGTTTTGTTTCAGTATCCTTCAGTTTTATTTCTTGGGGTATAAGAGTTGATGATCTTGCTTGTTAATTCTGTTTCTGAGTGGGGACAGGTTGTAAATTTGGAGGCTTCCCTGGCTGACTGCTGAGTCTGAAGGCCCTTCCAGACTGTGATGCACTCTAGGAGGAGAAGGGAGTGTTTCGTGGTTTCTGTTTAACCGCACGTGCCGCGTGTGAGAGCAGGCTCATCCTCAGATGTGACAGTCAGATGATGCTGGCTCAGCTTTGCTCACCAGCTGGGACCTGCTCCAGTGTGCTGTCACTGTCCCTGCTGCAGTTCCTAAGGACGCTGTCTGGATTGGAAGCCCGTGGCTGAGGGCCATTGAAGGCAATCTTCATTAATGCAGACGAAACCAGTTTACATGTTAGCAAGGTGACACATTTGAAGGGTGAGTGGTGGGTCCTTGAGCCCCTTTCAGTCCTGTGTGCAAACCATTGCTTTTGGATAAAAAGCTAATGAGCACTTCAGCAAGGTCTTCGCTCCCTATGAGTTGCATCAGAAATAGATTTGAAAAACATATGCTAAGTGTTCTGCTGAAGTGCCTAAGAATTTCATCTTATGGTCGTGAAAAATGTACACACAGGGCTATGTATGTGACGAGAAACCTTTTTCCTTATGCTTTACAATAAAGGAAATGCCAAGGAAATTGTAGTGCTGTAATTGATTTTTATTCTCTTAATTTATTATTATTATGGAGACAAGGTCCCACTGTGTAGCCCTGCCTGTCCTGGAACTCACTCTGTAGACTAGGCTGGCCTTGAACTCACAGAGATCCACCTGCCTCTGCCTCCCAAGTGCTGGGATTAAAGGTGTGTACCACTACAAACGACTGTAATTGAATTCTTAGTTTATTTAAATGACTTGAGATAGAACATCACTCTTTAGCTTTTCTAGCTTTGAGTTTTGTTACTTATCTAATTAATACTTTTACTGAAAATAAAATATACCTTGGAATTTTTGGTGCCAGATTTGGGGGGTAAAATAGCGTTTTTCAGAGTCTAACACACATTATCTAAAAGTCAGAGTAGTGGCAGACGGAGATTGAGCTGGAGGCCGTGTGTGTGCTGAGCAGGTGCTCTTCCCTAAGCTGCACTCCGGCCTGGAGCACAACTCTAAACAAGTGAATAACCCAAGGATTTAGTTGGTAAATGTTACTATTTTCTCATGTTTCTTGGAAGTGCTATACTATAATTTTTTATTCTTAATATACTTTTTTTTAAAAAAATCTGTTTTGGGGGGTTGGGAGGGACACATGCATGAAGGCTAGAGGACACCTGGTAGGTTTTCTCCCACCATGTGGGTCTTGGGGATTAGAGTCAGGGCATCAGGGGTGGTGGCAGTGCCTTTGCCTGTTGAGCCATCTTGCTGGCCCTAATAGACAGCTTTAAACTGAGACTTTCTTTTCTTTTTTTCTTTTTGACTTAATAAATGGGTGACTTTATTAAGAGAAGACATGATAGATATTTGCCTCAAACCACCCACAAAAACAAAGCACACAGACTTACTCATACAATATTTTAGTTTAAAAATTATTGATCACACCCATGCTAAACCTGATGTTTGGGTGTAAACTGAGGCTTTCATATATGCTTATAATTTGCTTTGATCAAATCGACCCCCTATTAACTCTGCTGCACCCTCGCTTTTCCTCCCCACTACATTGCTCTCCCCCGCCCCCTGAAACCTGAGTCCATGTCCTGCTGCCAGGATGTGCGTGGGTGCAGGACCATCTACTGGAGCATGGGTAGCCATGCTGGCCCTTACACGGGTGTTGAACATTTGAACACAGGTCCTTTACTTTAGAGCTAGGTCTTTAGTCACTGAACCATCTTCCAGGTCCTGCTTCATATTTCTTTAAGGAGAAAGAAAGAAAGAATTTAGGGCTGGAGATGTGGCTCAGTGGTTATGACTGCTCGTTGCTCTTGCAGAGGACTGAGGGTCAGTTCCCAGCAGCCACATGGTAGCTTATGGCCATCTGTCATGCACTTCTAACGGACTGCATGCCCTCTTCTGACCTCAGCTGGCTCCAGATGTGCATATGGTGCACATAAATACATGCAGGCAAACATACACATACAGCAATCTGCTTAAGAATTTACTTTCATTATTTTTAATTACATATATGTGTATCTGCATGTGGACATGTGCATATGAGCTTGGGTGCCTAAGGAGGTCAAAGCCATTAGATCCCTGGAGCTGCTCAATATGGGTGCCAGGAACAAAATTCAGTCCTCAATAATCAGTAAATGCACTTAACTGCTGAGCCATCTCTCCAACCCCACTTCCTCCCTTATATTAAGGATGCAAATTACCATATGGGCAGGGGAAGAACTTTGAAATCACACCTAAGTATAAACTCCTACATTCCCCCTTATTTAGACAAACAGCTTAAGTCTCTGAGCCTCAGTTTCCACATCTGTGAAACGGGAGATAATGCTGCATAGGGGTGCACAGCTTTAATCCCAGCTCTTGGAAGGCAGAGTCAGGAGGATTCTGTGAGCTCCAGGCCAGTCTGCCTGGTCTATATAGTGAGCTCCAGGACAGCCAGGGCTACATAGTGAGAATCTGCCTTAAAGAAATGAGAAGTAATGACAAAGATTACTGTGCAAATTGAATAAGATGAAATATACAAATACTAAGTAAGCACCTAATAGTGCTCAGTAATGCTCCAAAGCACTTGCCCGTGGTTTCCCTTGAGGAACTCTCTGTGCACAAAATGAACACACAGTTGGGCTTTTTCTTTCTTCTCTTGTTTGGAACAGTGTCTCACGATGCAGCCTCCACACGGACCAGACCCATTTGCCTCTGCCTCCTCCATGCTGTGCTTTGGCTCTTGACATATGCCTGCCTGGTTGCTCCCCAGAGTCTTTTTTTTTTTTTTTTGGTTTTTCGAGACAGGCTTTGGAGCCTGTCCTGGAACTAGCTCTGTAGACCAGGCTGGTCTCGAACTCACAGAGATCCGCCTGCCTCTGCCTCCCGAGTGCTGGGATTAAAGGCGTGCGCCACCACCACCCGGCTCCCCAGAGTCTTTATCTTTGTGATCACATTATCTTCTGGCTACATTGTAACATCTTCCACTTCAGGGACTTCATCTCCTTTGTCTCTTGTCCCGTCAATTTGATGAATGGTTTGGAGTCAGTGTAATGGTTATCTGATGGAAGATGGGAAAGTGTCATTGCTCAAAAGTATTGAGCCATGCTGTGAAATGTCTCTGTAGCAGGTCCATGTGAAACTGATTCTCAACCTTCCTAATGCTGTGACCCTTTAGTACAGTTCTCCATGTTGTGGTGACCCCCAAACATAGTTATTTCACTGAATCTTCATAACTGTAATTTTGCTACTGTCATGAATCATAATATAAATATTTAATATGTGGAATCTCTGATATTCAACCACAAAGGGGTCAAGACCCACAGGTTGAGAATGACAGATGTCAAAGGATGTTTAGGGTCCTTGAGTGAGTCCTTCAGCTGCTGTGAAAAGCGTAAATGGCAGAAGCATAGCTTTGCAGTGGGTTGTGGGATAGGCTATCTTGCATTAAGGAAACTTCCCCTTCTGCACCAAAAGTTCCAGGCCTCAGTGGGTGCCAGGGAGCGTGTGTCGTTGCCCTTAAACCTAGCATCCTAAGTCAGGCACCATCCTTCTCGGTCCCGTCACCTGATATCTGCTAAGTGAGTGTTGATTAGCTCCAACTGTTGAAAAATGCCAAATTCTAGCAGACGGTTAGGAAAATATCAACACGATGCCCAGAGCTGGTTTAATTCATCTTTCCGCTTCAGTAATCCCACACATTACTTACTTATTTGCTGTAATGAACATGCCATTCATCCGAAATGAGATTAACTGCTTAAACCTCAGCATCGCAGGCAGAGAACACTAATGCCGCTTTGTGTTTCGTTGGAAGCGGCAGCAGTTAAAATAATATCGCCTTGCCACGTCTTCCATTGTAATCAAGGTGGTTTCACTCAGGATTAGCGCTCCGCAGCTGATTCTCCTGAAGGCTCACCTGAGGCAGCCAATTTATGTCTTGGGTGCAGCCGGGAAGCCCTAGCCACCCCAGAACAGAACCCATTGACCCTAGCCACTCTCAAACTGTGCTGCTCTTTGTGGGCCCTTCTCTGCTCTAGTGCTGATGGGAGATTTGCCCACCATGCAGCTGAGGGGAGGACTTGGGCATACATCTGGACAGTAGCACTGTGATGCTCCACATGAAACAGGGCCCAGAAAACCAACACAAGCCCCCATACTTGTTCTCTTCACCATTGTCAAGGTCCTCGTCTCCAGTGCAGCTCTCTGGACTGGCCCAGTCCCACTCTTCTGCCTTCTTTGAATTCTGATTCTAACCAGACTTCCCTCTCAGTTCATTTAAGATTGGTTATTTACTGATTTGTGTGATTCTTCGTGTTCTACATGGACACGCTTTCCTTCAGTTAGACTACAAGCTCTCAGAAATCATGGGCAAACAATGCATGGTCCTGTGTGCCTTGTCTGAGGAAGCACCTCCGTGGGATCCATTACAGCTCTTCCTGAGAGGATCTGTAGTGGGAAAGCTGTTCTGGTCGCGAGGATGGTGTTCCTGTCCCAGAGATGCTGTCTCTCCTAAGGAGCATGTTTCATCCTTGTGGCTCATAGCGTTCAGGACCACACACCAGCAGATGTGTTCATGCACTTGTTGATTTATTTCAATAAAACTTTATTAAATACCTACTCTGTGGGGGAAGTCTGTCAAGAGTAGACCGTCAAGCTCCTCGTTCGCAGAAATGAAGCAAAGCAACGCTGTGGAGATGGCTCAGAGGTTAGAGCACTGTCTGCTTTTTCAGAGGAGCTGGTTCAGTTCCCAGCAACCACAGATGTAATATGAGGACCTGTTTGTTGGGATTTCTGCCCTGCCCAGTTCCCACAGCCAGTAAGCCCCCAAAGAAAATCACGGCAGTCTATATTAATGATAAAACTGAGTGGCCCATTAGCTCAGGCATCTTATTAACTCTTATAACTTACATTAATCCATTATTCTTATCTATGTTAGCCACATGGCTTAGTACCTTTTTCGGCAGGGCAGGTCACATCTTCCTTCTTTCGTGTCTGGGCAGGACTGCAAGAAGAACTTCCTTCTTCCCAGAATATTCCTGTTCTCACTGCCCCAACCTCTACTTCCTGTCTGGTTGTCCCACCTATACTTCCTGCCTGGCTACTCACCAATCAGCATTTATTTAAAACATAATTGACAGAATACAGAATTGTCCCACACCACACAGATAGCTTCTAACCATATGTAACTCGAGTTCCAAGGACTTTGATACCTCTCTCTGGCCTTTGTGGGCTCCTGCACACCCATGGTGAACGTGTATACACATGGGCCAACACTCTTGCACATGAAATAAAAGCAGTAATATTTGGGGTTGGAGAGATGTCTGGAAGTTAAGAGCACTGGCTCTTCTTACAGAGGACCTGAGTTTGATTCCCAGCACCCACCTCGTATATAGAAATACACGTAAACAAAGCAAAACATAAAATTAAAATTATAATGACAATAACTTGGAAGAAATAAAGCGAAGTTTAGAAGCACCTCAGGAAGGACTGCACTTTCTTACTCTGTCCTTTGAACCCAGCTGTGGAGAAGCAGCTTCAGTTGACCTGACT